TCTGTATAATTTGTCTCAATACTTCTCATTATCTCAATTTTTTTTTTAGTTAGCTTCCTGCAATTGTTGAATAGGTAACTAGTAAAATAATAGAAAACATTTATTGTAATTTATTCTCTTTTTTAATCGGAAATTGTAAATCTTTCTGCCCAAGCCTGTCCCTTGTACAGTCCACTTTTGTAATAGCAATAATGGGTATAATGGTAAGCTTGATATTTGCACCATATTTGTAAAACTAAATGACAAGAAAAACGACAAGTAAATCATGAAAACACATAAAACCACCCCCAAAGCTCTACAAAGGCATCCAATTGCTCTTCACACAAAACAAACACCCAGCGTTAAAGACCCAGAAGAAACAGGGGGAGTGTTCTTGTTGTAAAACCACAATAAAACCCTTTCACTGAGGGCCAATAAAGAGCCATTAAACCCTCATCTCACACACAGATCAATTAAAGAAGCAGTTATGTGGGTCATATGTTGACTTCTAAAGTCAATTTTTGTTCCACGATGTTGACAAAGGTCAGCAACTTTTTGTCATCCTGACCGCTAAACATCAGGACGATTGTGTGACTCTGAATTGACTTCCAGTAGTTTAACGTCTATTGTTCCCGGCAGAACATCCTGTTCATCCTTTAGTGTTCAAATCTTTATTGTTGAATACCCCAAATGTCAAAACATTCTTTAAATTCATTGCTTTGAGGAATGAGAGAAAACCAGCTCAGGTACAAACATTCTCATACAAATGTCTAAAACTAGAACATATTCAACACAGTTAGAAAACCCAGAGCATGCATTCACACTCTCCCTCAAACACATGTGCTTTGTTCAGTTTTCTGTGTGTATTTCAGCCCTTTGTTGAACACAAACATGTTATTTTCTCTGCCTTTTGACTGAGGTGATGTTGACAGCTGGAGAGTTTGAACGTATGGAATAACATTTTGCTTTAGGAGAGTCCTAAGCCCGGATGTTTTATAATTGTGACACACATTCAACCCAATAATATGCATAGATACAAGAGTAAGCATACTACAGCCCCTAGTTTTGCTGCTATAGGCTTAGACTGTCGGGGGACACCTTACTTCTTACTTCTCTCTGTCTGTACCTGTGTACTCTCATGTTCCGAATAACCCAGCTTCCCCCAAGTTTCTTTTTGGTGTCTATCTACGCTGGGATCCTGAGTCGTGGCTGAACCTGTTGCTGTGGTCCTGTCTGACTCTCATCATACTTCCCTGATGGCTCCCACAGGATTGTTGACATCCTCGTGGATTCATCTTCTTATTATAGACACATGCATTTCCAAACATTTGGTCTACCTATGTTGTAAATGTATTATCTCTTCGATTTACACACGGCATCTATTGCACGTCTGTCCGTCCTGGGAGAGGGATCCCTCCTCTGTTGCTCTCCCTGAGGTTTCTCCCATNATACTAAGTAATAGTCTACTTAATCTACAAGATATCTTTGTAGTCGCTCATAGGTGACAGATAAACCTATTGTTGTTGTGTGTTCGTTGTTGTTGTTGTTCGTTGATAATCAGACGTTTTGTCCTATTGACATTATACATGCATGTTAAATCAAGGCTTCGTTTTCTGCGATTTCGATAAAATGCTCGCTCGTTATCTACTTACTCTACATGAATAACTAACTACTAGCTCTCGTCTTCAATTTATAGTAAATTCTTATTTCCTCGTACTACTACCTTTACTTCGCCCTTGTCTGATTCTGTTTGAAATAGCTGAGATGAAACACATTCATGGTGTGGAGAAAGAGAAACTGATCATGAAATCATTTAACAGACTTTATTGATGGGATGTGTGATCAAATTAAATGTTTGGATAATTAATAAAGGTTTGTCTTTCAAAAACAAAAAGGATGTTCTTCTTGTGTTATGTCCAAGGTGCCATACGAAGCTGATGGAGAACATGTGGAAGTGATCTGAGACAAAAGCCTGTAAAGCCCCGAGCCTGTTTTTCAGGTCTCAGGCTCGAAAATGACATGCCCAGAACAAATGACCATATCTTCCCTTCTAAAAGTGATAAATGAATAATCTTTTTTCTCAAAGCAAGATTACATCTGTGAGTTGGATGTAGAAGTGTCAGAATCAATATAGATGTTTTTATTTTACAGTAAATTCAGATTGAACACAGTAAAACAAATTAAATGATAGTGTCCGTCCAAAAAATACTTACTTATAGTGAAAACCACCCTTGAATGATGGGATGGTAGGCTAAAAGCTTTAGGAATCCAAACTATAACATATAATATACAAATACAGTAGCCTTGTTTTTTTCCCAATATGGATCATAGTTCCAAGCCTGATGTGAAAAGCGTTGAAATATTCAAGTAGATGTAGCATTCTTTCAATTTAAGTCAATGTTATTGAACTATATAGATGTTGTCCGCTTCTAATTCAACTTGATGTGTTGATTTTAAGTGTTTCTCTAGACATTAGTAACAATACAGTGGGTCACTATGGAATTTCCAAAGCCTCAAATAAAAAAAGGACTTTGTGCGCTTTATAAAATAACTTCACGTAATTTTCTACACCCACGCATTTCTAATTAGGTTACTGTATGATTATGTATCAATCAATCAATCAATGTTTATTTATATAGCCCAATATCACAAATGTTACATTTGTCTCAGTGGACTTCACAGTTTGTACAACAGTATGACAATACGACACCCTCTGTCTTTAGACCCCTTCAATCTTGATGTTTCTTGGCATCTCTTTATGACCATTTATTTATGAGTTACTAACATTTATAACTGCCAAAAGGGAGCCTTNTTCCCCTGTCGCAAGTTTTGATCGCTCAGTGATGATACTAATACCTATATAATCTCTGGAATCTCATCCTTAATCGGATATCTTGGATGTGCAGTTACGATAAGTCGTAACTGCACATCCAAGATATCCGATTAAGGATGAGATTCCAGAGATTATATAGGTATTAGTATCATCACTGAGCGATCAAAACTTGCGACAGGGGAAGCAAACACAGACATCACAACACGTAGCATTACGGAGCAAACACGGGAGATCGTCTCACCTTAGCTGTTATTCTGATCAAAAGTCGTGTTCAATGGCATGAAAACAATAAAAACTCTAATGAGGGTTAATCCATAGGTTAATTCAATGTGTCTGTCACTTTGAAAAAATTATTGATAATCCATAATTCAATTTTTATGTAAAAATCGGAGAATTAGCTGCTAATGGTAGCCACCAGGGTGTATCGCAGCTTCCGGTTTTGGCTACGCGTCACTCTCACTCCTTATTTGGTAACATGTGTGTATGTGTGTGGAACTCCCTCTCGATTCTATTGGCTCTAGCGGTTAAAAAGAGATGTCAATCATCAAAATCGACCAAGGGGGACAGAGATAGGTCAAATCCACCCAAATGACCCCAGAAGTGTTTTTGTTTTTCTAAATCTCTCTAAAAAGGTCAAATATCACTTGTTTTGCATCAATCTTGATACAGGGTACTTATTATATGCTATAGTTTGGATTCCTAAAGCTTTTAGTCTACCATCCCATCATTCAAGGGTGGTTTTCACAATAAGTATTCTCTTTTTTTTGGACAGACACTTTAATTTAATTTGTTTTACTGTGTTCAATCTGAATTTACTTTAAAATAAAAACATCTATATTGATTCTGACACTTCTACATCCAACTCACAGATGTAATCTTGCTTTGAGAAAAAAGATTATTCATTTATCACTTTTAGAAGGGAAGATATGGTCATTTGTTCTGGGAATGTCATTTTCGAGCCCGAGACCTGAAAAACAGGCTCAGGGCTTAACCATGGACTAGTAGAGCCTGTTTAGTTAAGTATCCTTTCCATGAGTATACCTTTCTTTCTTTGTTTTCAATAAATAAATAAATATTAACATATGAATAAAAAAAAAACATACGAGTATCATTTAACTTTGGCAATTGTCATAAAAAATATATACACCAGAAATAAATATCAATGGGTCAATATGTGTAGTTTGTTTGCACTGGGTCCCCTATTACACATCGTCATTTTCAGTTAAAGACTTTGGGTGTTCACAAGCAATCTGTTAAAAACAAATAAAGACCTCTTTTAATGTGTTATTTATTTGTGTTTGTTTATATTGTCTTTTCTTTTGACTAATATGACTTTTACACATGAAGAGCGAGACTGATATCAAGCTTAGCTGATGGCAACAGTACATAAGGCAAATTAACTGAATGATCATCATATGATATACTTTGTTGTGGTTCAATACATTAACTCTGCCTCGTCTATCAGAGAAACTGTAAGCACTCAGTCAGTGGCCGAGAAAACAGACATATCTTTATCTGCTTTTACCATATCCTGCCTGTTCAACATATGGGGCGATATTTATCTTTACAATCGTATTTTCTCAACAGTAACAAATGATAATAAAAAAACAAGATCTACATTGGGGACAAAACAAGGCCACACAACCAACAACAACAGAAAAAGACAAAAAATATAGTATAAAAGTGTATTATTTTCAAACATGTTGTTCAAAAATGCGAAGTGACAAAATATATCATGAAAATAGCCATCATTAACATACATTAAACATGCTTTATTTGTATGTGCTTTTGCTTTTAAAAATATTGCAATAAAAGCAGAAATTAGGACTTGCTGAAAGTTGCCTAACTGTTTGACAAAACATAACAAAAACAGAGGTGAAAAAAAGTATTATTGATACATTAATATTTCCAAAGCTGTAGCAAAAGGGACAATATTTATAACCAATCAAATAAAAAATGGCCATCAGTAACATTCATGTATTTAGTTGTATGTGCTTTTAGTAGATTGCTTCTAAAAGCATTGCAATGAGAGCAGAATTGACACCGAAAGTTGGAGCGATATTTTTTGTAACTACAGGAGATTTATTTTCAAATGCCAGCTGTCAAGATATTCAAAAATAGCCGATTTACTTGGAAATAGTGGATGTGTGCACCTAACTAAGTGTAGCACAGTCGCTGTTGCGGCAATAAACGGAGCAGTAGAGGAGCTACAACATCCGGGCAATACTCAGCTTACACAGAAACGGAATGGCGGAGGTAAGTGAGCGAAAACGAGGAATGTAACGAGTCAAATTAGAGAATAAATAGAGCGAATTTAACACTTTTGTCACGTCGTGAGGCACAAAAGAGTGTTACGGTGTCAGCGGCTGGGAAACCCCGGTTCAAAGAGGGGCTACGGGGGTGTTTTAAGTGAAAAAGCGGGGGGAGAAATGGAGAAGCTCTCCAGCGAATCGCCTCTCTCCGCGTTCTTAGCTTTAAAGAGCCATTCCCTCCTCCGCCTTGATAGTAAATCCGCAGAAAACAAAAGGCAGGGGTCTAACACGGTGGTGCTGAACTGTTTCAGGTGCGAAGTGAGACGAAGTGAGTAGAAAAAGTTGGGAGGGATGTCACGACTTGTCGGCGGTAAACTCCGAAACGTCCCTTTCGGAAATATTGAGAAACTAGTTCCTTCTTGTGTAGCCGGGGAGGAAGAGACGTTCAGCACCAAGTCACAGGAAAGCGCCCCTGGTCAGGCACCCAATGCTACAGACACACCTTATATTTATATTTTACACTGGACTTTTTTATCTAATTTACCAAGAAGTGGTGTGTGAAGAAGTTTAATGTAACTCAATGAGTGGTGGCACGCTGTTTGAACTACGGTGGGCTACATCCTCTGTCCTGTAGCCTGCTGCACGAAGTTTCTACACTTCTGGGTTAGCCTCTTATGTGGCCTCAACTTGCATGGCTGCTTCAACTACATTGGTCCCACTTTGACTTCATTATTTTAGCCGAAAGCCTGTATAGAAAACATGTTGACAAAGTAAGAGAATGTGCTTTCACCCCATATGGAAAACTAATCGCTGTTACGTTTTTATTTTAAGTAGTATCACACCAAAACTAAAGCTGTAATCAGTGGTGCAAAGTAACGAGGTACGTTTACTCAAGTATGCTGTACTTAAGTACAGTTTTGAGTTACTTGACTTGACTATTTCCACTTTCTGCTAGTTTGTACTTCTCCTCAACTACAACTCAGAGGTAAATACTATTATTTTACTCCACTACATTTACTAAGTAACTTTAGTTGATTTTCAGATTTGGATTAATGATGTGGAAATGTATTCAACTCTTAAATCAGACTTTAGTTCCACCTGGAGTAAATTCACAAGCTACCCTGCAGTATACAAAGTCATTCAAACTAGCTGCACCTTTACCAGCTTTGATAACACTTTAATGATCAATAATTATAATCAAAACGTATCATATATATTATTCTTAAATGGGCAATTCTGCACAAAGACTACTTTGACTCTTGGTACTTTTAAGTATATTTTGATGCCAATACTTATCTACCTTTACTTGAGTAATCGGTTGATTGCAGGACTTTTACTTGTAACAGAGTATTCCTACTTTTGCATCCTCTGCCCTGTAGCCTGCTGCACAAAGTTTCTTCACTTCTGTGTTGACCTCTTATGGCTGCATTAATTACATTTGTTCCACTTTGACCTTCTTATTTTAGGCCAAAGCCTACTATGGAAAACATGTAGGAGAATGTGTATGAAGAACTATTAGCTGTCATGTTTTGATTTGAAGTAGTAGGCCCTTTTATCAAACCAAAACCACAACTGTTGTGGGTTTGTTTATTATTTTCTGTGATTTTCAAAAGATAAAAAGCTACAATTGAGTGCCACGCGTAGATTACAATGTATAATACAACTCTTACCCCTACACCAGGTCGCAGTTTAAGTTCAAAATGGTGGTTTAAGATAACAAGGACTTTTTTTGCACTTTTCTAAAAACAGAGTATACAAAGTGCTTTCATAGCCTAAAATAGAAATGTATAAGAGAAATAGAAAAAATGATAACCCTTATAAAATTAGATACAACTTAACACATCAATAAAGTGGAGATACAAGTGTGTGCCAAAAAATAATAATTCAAAAGTCAGGGATCAGCCATTTGATTCTTCATGTTGTTTGTGTGGCTGGAATGTAAAGGAATGTACCTCCATGTTGTAATTCCTTTGCATGCTGCTTTACATGACGGCACAAATAACTCTGTTTGTTTGTGTCTGCAGGTGGGTGAAAAGCCCCTGAAGAGAAGTGTGCATGTTGTGGTCTAGTGGAGAGAGGATGAGGAACTGTGAGGAAGACCCTCAGCAGGAGAAGCGGAAGTGTTAACCAGCCTTAGAGGAGTTTCAGAGGACGTTCGCCCCATGAAGATGGCCGCACAGTCCCACACTGTACGCTCAAGTTCAGCCATCTACACTAAAGTTAGTAACTGTATGAACACCTCTGACACTTTCTGCAGACGTCACTGCATCACTAACACACCCATAGTCACATTATTCTTACTATTCAAAATGTATGCTTTGATTGAAATCTCTAAACTCATAGCTTAATAATTCACCATGGTGTTATGAGGTTGTTTCCAAATGTATCTGAAGTTTGGTTTGCAAGATAATTATACATTGTTCCCAGAAATATTATGTAAACTACACCGTTTGAAATCAGAGGACCAAAATCATTCATCACCTTATGTAACAATGGAAAAAAGAGACAAACAGATTAAGTTCAGATATTCACACATCTTTTTTTCTGTAAAACCCTCAGACTAAAATGAGCAATGACCCTGTCACCTTCTTGAAATCTCTTGGGCCAAGACCAAGCCCAGTGCATTCAGTGTACTTGAGCTAAAAGTGTAGTTGAGCTAAAAGTGTAGTTGAGCTAAAAGTAAACTGAAATTTGTTTCTGAAAACATTATAGGCGAGAAATAAGCAATGCAGTAACCACATCTTCTTTAATATTTGATATTTTAGCTTTTTCTGCGTTTTCTCTACCTGTGGTTTAATCTTGTAAAAGTTATTTGGAGTGCTTTTAGAAGTGAGAGGGAACTACTTTTCTTACGGATTTGATCTGCCGGGATATAGTGTTGGTTTCAGCGAATATGAGGAAAAACATTGTTTACAAATGAAGTTACCAACTGTATCTTTAACTCCTTAAATGTGACTGACTGATGTGAAGAAGGCTTTTTCTGGGTTTGACTTTGAAGATATTCCGGTTTGTCCTTTGTCCATTTGCCTTTATCAATTCTCCATTTGTTATGAGTTGGAGATGTCTTTCCCATTTGAGAGGGACTCTGCAAACTGAGTGAAAGCTAGGGAGACATTTGGGCAAAAGAAGAAAACATATACACATCATTAATGAACTGAGAGTCTAGACAATGTGGAAGTAATCTAATCTTCTCCCTCTGTAACTGTGTGTCTGAAGGCTGGGGAGCTTCCTCTGGAGGAGCTGCTGGCTCTGTACGGCTACACCATGTCAGACCCAGAGAAGGAGACCTGTCACATGACTGCCAGCCTGCCAGGCATGACACTGGAAAAGGTGAGATTCAACGTGAATGACTGAAATGCGATTACTTAATTCTGTGTTCTCCTCTGTGCTTTGATTTCATTTGCTGTTCCATTGTTGTATTTGACAGGATCAGATTACTGAGGATCTCTTTCCTGGGGAGGAGGAGGAGTCGTCAGCTGATTATCTCACCCCCTCCGTCACCTCAAACACCTCAGATCTGCTCCACCGCCTTCAAGGTAACAAACACATAGATGTACATTTACATCACCATATCACGCAGAATAAAAGGAAAGGAAATTGTGGATTCGCATCATAAATTCAATTCAAACAGAACAGCTTTAGAACCAAATGCACATTATTTCCAGATGAAACTATATAATAGGAATAAAAGAAAGCAAAGTTTTTTATTTTGTGTTATATTTTCCCAACATTAGATTTAATATCAGTGCTTTTGCTGATATTGCAGCGTGTTATTTACAGCTAGCCAGTACAATTCAATAAAATGACACGCCACCAGTGCCAGGAAATTACATTTATTTCTGTTTAATATCATATGAGAACTTCCTGGTATGCTACCATGTTCTGCTTTATGTGTCTTTTTCCTACTTTGTAGTGACATGTTTGTTGCTGAGTCCACAAAATATCATGAAAACCAAATACGTGGCACGTATGCAGCTTTGTCTGTTTGTTTCTCTTAATCAAATCAAATCAAGTTTTATTTATAAAGCACATTTATAAACGATTTTTGGTCAAGCCAAATTGCTGTACATATAATAAAAATAGCCTACAGTAGAGACACTTTACAGCTAATACAATAAGCACATATTGTTCAGAATATCAGTATGAGAGAAAACGACCCCCTCTGTCCTTAGACCCTCACATCGTACAAGGAAAAACCTCCAGAGAAAACCCACAGTTTAAAGGGGAACATGGGAGAAACCTCAGGGAGAGCAACAGAGGAGGGATCCCTCTCCCAGGACGGACAGACGTGCAATAGATGCCGTGTGTAAATCGAAGAGATAATAGATTTTACAGAATAGGTAGTCCAAATGTTAGGAAATGCATGTGTCTGTAATGAGAAGATGAATCTACGAAGATGTCAACAATCCTATGGGAGCCTTCAGGGAGGCAGCATGACGAAACCCAGGCAGGACCGGAGAGACAGGTTTTGCCACGACCCGAAGTCCACGACTTAATCCAGAACTCAGGATAGAGGATCCAGGACCACAGCAAGAAGATCAGCCTCGACTCCGGATCCCGGCGTAGATATAGACACAAAACAAGAAAAAATGTGGCTGGGTTAATCGGAACAAGAGAATACACAGACACAGACAGACAGACGGAAGAACAAGCACTCCCTTAGAATAGATTGAGGGCAAAGGGTAGCAAGTAAGAGAGTAAGAAACAGAGGTGGAGAGGCATACTTAGGGAACAAGGTCCCCACTGGAGCCTTAGTTGGAAATTGATGAGAGATAGGGAGGTAGTCTGTATCTACGAATCGTAACACTCCCCGGCCTGTCTAAGCCACTCTGCAAACCGTTTCCCTCTAATAAAACCTCGAGAGACAGAGAGGGAAAAGGTCATTGGATAAAAGTTATTCTTGATAAGAGAAGCCTAAAAGGCCCGAGAGAGAAAGTGAGTTTTAAGTGTTGATTTAAAAAAAGGAGATGCCTTTCGCCTCTTTGATTCTTCATCCTGAATTGTATTTATACGGAGTTTAAAGTATTGCATTTTTTTTTCACTAAGTCCACTGGCTCTCTATAAATCCCAGTATTACCCACTACTGCTTCATTATCTCAATAGGCTTCACTTGTCGAATAATGGTTAAAACATTTTAAGAATTACATAAATATAGAATTTCGCAAATGAGGTTTCGAAAAAAGTTATATTGCTGGATCAGGAGTTTTGAGATCATTTCCAGACATGCAGTTACTGTTGAGGATTTAAATAAAACCAAAAGGCCGGATAAATTAGATTTTAAAAAAACAGTATGACACATCCCTCAATTTGTTATTTTGAAATATGCGAAGACAGATATGTAATCTTAGCCAAAAGAAAGATGTGGAGACTGACATCCCAGAGTTCGATTGGATGACTCAATGTAATGTAGCAATAACAAGAAGAGAGAGAAGTGCACACACAGCAGTAAAATCATTTAAATGGTAGATTGTGGGTTTTCAGATCTATCTGTTCTTGTTCAAACTCAGCAATACCCTGAATGATCTTGCCATGTTTATCACGTTAGAGCCATTCAGAGAGCAAAGGCCAATCAGGCAGACCCTCAACATCATAACTCCTGCCATCAGGAAGGAAGCATCTTTTTTCAAGAGGCCCCCAAAAGGATATCTGAGACCTTAGACCTAGTTTCCCTTCCACTCAGACTCTTTGGTTAATTTATTGCAATTTGTGATAATGAAAACCACCTTTTTGTCTACTGTTTAATGTATATATATTAAAAATGTTGTATCATGTGTATTGGTTGTGTTGAATTCTGTTTGCAAACCAAATTGCTCATCAGGAATAGATTATCCAATCCAGTCAAATATTCTGTCTTTCAGGTGGAGACAAAGACACATTAGTCAGCTCCTCAGATGAAGACTTGGGTGAAGCCTCTATTCCCTCCAAAGAAGAGCACAAGGTAGCCACTCAGGGCAAAAACATATACACAACACAACAAATAGGAAACTATCAAATCGGTAGAATGCAGATTCGTTGCCACCACTGCTGTAATGTTTGTCAGAATGAATACTAACCACAGTTCTATAGCCCCCTTTCTTAACCGGAAGTGTGTCAGATGCTTTTTTTCACTCACACCTCTAACGCAAGGTTGCACTCTCATTGTAATCCTGTTGCATCGGGTGCTGAGAGACAAAAAACTTCTCAATCACAAACAATTTCACCTTTTAGTTCAAACTCCACAAATAAAGCCTTAAATATGAAATAAAACGTAGAGAAGCTGGATCCTTACATGCACACGCACACAATCCACAGGAAGCAGAGTTTGGTCCGTGTGCGTAAGTCAAGCTGTTATGTGCACACACACCTGGCAGTGGAGGTTCTTACGCTGTCAAGCTGTGAGTATGCAAACAAAACTCTACGGCAAGAAATGGCACTTCAAAATATAACCTTAGACCTGGAAAGTTATTCGACTTTCTGATGATTCCTTTCAGAAAGACCCACTTTGCAACCAACCAGTTAGGAACCTCCGCCCGAAAGTACTCGCTTATATATCAGCTATATTATTGTAAATGTGACCATAATTTAGAAAATGATCATCGTGCTTTATGGAGAAGACTTGAAACTAGTGATCAAGACCATAAACTGAGGTAATAATTCAAGTAAGAAGTTGATTTATTCTTCGACAGTGGCGGCACCATAGTATTTTTGTTGGGTAATCTATGGTAGGGCTAACCCATACAGTGGTGGGGCTCAAGTCAGTATTCGCAATGTAATTACATACACGCTATATCGCCCCCCTTGACAGTGAAACGCCACGCGTGAGGTTTAGATTATTTCCCTGTCTCAATACAAATGGAACTGTATGAAATAAAAAGGCACATTTGTCTTGTAGCAAATAAAAAGGGATCACGTGACGTATGATAGTACACGTTGAAGATCCAATGGGGATACTGAATGGCGGTTCCGATTGATCTCAATCAGTAAGGCATGACGCAGACCCAACGTTTCGTTGCTCTGATTGGCTGTAGGTCTATTCAAATTGCATTCGGAGGCATTTTGATCTGACGCCGCGCTGATATTATAACACCAGAGAATTTCCACACCTTTAGTGTATAAAACTCCCCCACTACTTAGACTATTCCTTGCACCCCTCTTCTAGCATAAGCCCGAATGGTCTCAACCATATTGCATCAGTAACGTGCACTTGTTGTTACAGCAGGATCAGTTTGTGTGTTGTGGACACGACCCGTATATTTTCGCAATCCGTGTTCTCAACATTTAGCATTTTGCTTATTATTTAATTTAATTTAATTTGCTTACTTTAACATCATTTTTCATGGTCGGGCTAAGCCATTTCTTGGTATGGCTGTAGCCTACCCCAGCCATACCCTGGCGCCGCCACGGTTCATCGACAACCAGAGAAGTCCCTCTGATATTCCAGAGAGCACAAGTTTGAGACACTTCTGAATTGGCTTTATCCTTCAGACCTGGTGTTTGCTGCTTGCTTACACTTACTGTGACTACACAACTTCACTTCAAATGTTTACCTCCAATCGCCAAAGCTGTGTGCCCTGAGCGCAGCCAACGCCTCTCTCTCTCTCTCTTTTACTCTCTATCTCTCGATGCCCTATTGAGCCGGGAATATTTATTTGTGGCTTATGGCTGCCAGAGATAATGACAAAAGATAATGTGTAATGATTTACTTACTTTCCAATAATGTGTCTGTCTTAGACTTAATCCTTAAAGCAGCAGAGCGTTAGATGCTCCTGTGTCTCCTATACTTTGTCATGAGTTTAAATAATTTAATGCTGAATTCAAATTGATTGATTGAGGCCAAAATCCCAACCTAAACGTAAACTAAGCTTCACATTGCCAGACTTAAATAGCCTTGCACAGAATGGACTGGCTCCACGAAATAATCATTCTGGTATCGGAGGGGGGAAAACGCTTTTTTTGTATTCTTGCAAAATAGAAAGTGCACATAGCGTGAGATACAAGGCTGATTGCAGACTTATACCCACAGTCTACATCTGATGAGTCAGACTAAAGTAACATCCCAGGACATGGGACAAGATTTCAACTCAACTGTAGTCGTCACTTACTTGCTGGCTTTACTTGAATGGCAATAAAATACAGCACTTAGACATTTTTTCATTCATGCAAGCCAGAAAAAACACCCCTCCATTCCAAATGTAAAGTAGCCTCGTCCCTTTGATCTGAGACCTGGTTCTGTTCAGGTCTCCCCGAAGAAGCCTGCCACACATCATGTCTTTAAAGAGTGTATTTTTGCGTGTGTATGACCCATTTGAGAGCTTTGACAGATTGCCTTTGATTCCATTCTCAGGAGATCATGGTTGGCTCTATGTACCAGGCCAAAATCCCTCCACTCAGTTCATGTACCAACCAGGAGAGAGGTAAGCCTGTGACAAGATGTGAGGATGTTTTCATGGTTAGAAACTAGTTTAACTGCTGTCGTATAGAGAATAAATGTAACATGTTTCATGAACTGTGTAAGAAACAGTCCCAAGAACTAAGTCATGTCAGGGTTTAAAAGCCTCTGTGTAGAAGTTGGGCAAAACATAGATTATAGCTTTTTAAGAAGTTGCTGCAAAACACTTTCTCTTCCTAATTCCCCATCTTCTTCCTCTGCTGCCTCTCTTTACCTTCCTCTGTTCTTTCAGCCAGCAGCGGGGAGGACCAGTTGTTGTGGAAGCCGGGCGTTCTGCCGGTACAGGAAGTGGAAGAATTTTTGCTTAATACACAGAGGCCGTTAAACCAGGAGGGGGCAACGTGCACACAAACACAAGGACACACTGTGCGGGACAACCAACAGGTAGGCAACTTCAAATGACATCACATAAGACAATGTAGGGTACAAATTCAACTCTAATGATCTTAGAATTTTGGCTTAGGCAAACATTATTGGGATTTGCATTTGATTATTGGGACTGGGCTTTAAAATACTTTTGTGTTGGTTGCTTCACATTGTATCTTAATCTCACTGAAATACTTTATGTTTCTCAATGGCTGCTCAATAGAAGGGGGGGTTGTGACTAAACTTATAACATCTTAAACAAAACCAAATGACATTTCTGAATAAGACTCATGCTGGAAATCTACACTACAGTATGCACTTCACACTCTAAAGCCGTATCCTTGCAAAAAATGTCACAATTTTCTCAAGCTAGGACAATTCTTCATTAACTGGTGATTTGTAGTCAACCCTTAATGATAAACCTGACTTAAAGTGATTTATTTATTGTTTTTAAATGTATTGCTCTTGTTTATTCTTATTCTAAAGTGTTTAAGTGGACGGGACAGCCAGCGCAGGTGCATTTGATTGCATTTGAATGTACAATTTGTACTATTAGTCTTTAATGTATATGTCAATAATCACATGCTTCTACCTACCTCAACTCAATGCAGTTGGTATTAGATCAAGGTTTGCTCTGTGTTTGTTACTGAAAGAGTGCTTCTGTAATCCACTCAGTGTAAACAGAGATCAGGTTCTGCAGCTATTCTCTTTGTGACAGTCTGACCCTTTTCTCTCACCCCTTCTCTTGATCCTCAGGCTCTGTATGAACTAGTGAAATGCAACTTCAATGCAGAAGAGGCACTGAGACGAGTAAGCTTCAATGTGAAAGTGTTCAGTGGTAAGAAACTGCTATTATACTTATTGGCAATGCACTCAAAACCAAGACCGTGATAATGAAATCCTCCCCAATATACAAATAATTGTATTTAATTTAACTCCAAGTGTTTCTTAATTCGCCTCCCTCTCTGTAGAAGAGCTTTGTGCCTGGAGCGAAGAGGAGTGCAGGAGCTTCGAGAACGGCTATCGGGTTTACGGGAAAAACTTCAACCTCATCCAGGGGAATAAGGTGAGGGCTCAGTCCGTAGTACAATGTGTACATGTTGTCTAATGTTTTAAATTATTATAAAAAACATGTTATTTTTCATTTCATTTAAATTAATTATTCCAAACTTCCTTTTTGTACCAATATTTGTATTCCATTTTATTTTATTATTGCGCATTTTATTTGCACTTTTTATGTTTGTTTAAATATTCTTATGTTATTTCTTTATTCTTAATTTTTGTTTGTTTATTTCTCAAATGGAACAACCGTCATGAAACCTTTTACCCCCCCCAGGATAAAAATTAAGTTTTCTTATTTGGTTATTTGAAGGGAAGTAAAGTTAACGTGTGTGTTGGGGAAATATGTCCCTAGGCCCACACCTTTGACCCAGTTTATCAGCTTGTCCTGCCCTGACTGAGCACAGGCCTGCTACCTTGGGCTGCTGTGCTCTCAGTGTTTTGTCTGCCTGTTCCTGCCTGTTGGCGTCAGCTGATAGAGGTGTTATGGTTTTATCTTGTTATGCAGCATGTTGATTCGTCTCTCAGAAATAGCTAAATACATATATACAGGTCTGTGTATCAACATGCTTACAGACCTGGCCATTCCACATGCACCGCTTTAACACAAATGACAGATGATTGGAAGGGCGAACTAGATAATATGAAGTTAGTTTGTGCAGTACTACTTGATTTTAGTTCTGCTTTTGATGTTATTGACCATTCTTTGTTGTTACACAAGCTGGAACAATATGGTTTTAATTTTGAAACGCTGAGGTGGTTAGAAAGTTACCTGACAAATCGAAGTCAAACTGTTTTTTTTAATGGAAGTCTCTCAAAGATGAAAACAGTCACTTGTGGAGTACCTCAGGGTAGTTGTTTGGGACCACTTTTATTTTCTATTTTTACAAATGACCTACCATTAGTGTTAGAAAAAGCTAAAATT